CTGAAGTCCAAAAGTCGAGTCTGGATCCAATGTCACCAAGCTCTCTCTCTCTTCTCTCGTAGTCTGCTGATGCAGTGAAGTCAGATGATGAGAGGTTGAGAGGGAGATGGTGGACTGAGAAGAGGAAGAAGAGGAACTCTCTCTCTCTGTTACGAGCCAGGAACTAACCTGTGATGTTGGCGTTGTGTTGCAGGTACCTCGAAGACGAAGCTGGAGCAACGGCGCTGCAGGTAAGTACCTCTGGCCTCCGCCCAACCTCTCTCTCTCTCTAGTGCTATCCTAGTTATGGCGCCCAGCGTTGGAGACTACAGCTACCTACTACGCCCAGTGCTGAAGACTAAAGGCTAATGCTACTACTACTCCCCGCAGCGCTCCCTCCAGAGTGCTGCGGCCGAATCCTGAAGACTACTGTCTCCTGCCTGCCCATGAAGTGCATGGAAGTCCTTATGTACTACCTCGGCCTGCCTCCTGACTTCCTGAAGGGCGAGCCAAGCCGAGGAGGCTGCTCTTGCCAATGCCGAAGTGTGCCAGGGGCTGGAGCTGCAGCCTATGCTGAGGCTGGCATGGGAACAGGCTAAGAATAGCCTGTTCTCAAAACCTTGGTTCGGTGCCTGAGTTTCAAGGTCGGTCGTTCTGAACAACGACCGAAAATGGCCCTTCGTTTCAGGCTAAAAAGGCTATTGCCATTTTTAGTCTGAAACGACATAGGGACGGTAGGCTCCTGTTTTCAGGCTTTCGGGCTGAACAGTCACGGGGCCTGTAGGCCCTGGTTTTCAGGCTTTTAGCCTGAATTTCAGGCTTTCAGCCTGAAGGACGCAGGGCCTGGAAAATGGCCCTCGTGTGCAGGCGCAGCATGTAACAGGTTCCTTGCAAATTTCGTATCGGAGCAGAACTTGTTACTCTCACTGGACGCACTGCCATGACCAAGGCCGGCAAGAAGGATAAGCTGGCTTGAGTATAGCTGGCAAGAGTTGAGGTGAAGAGGAGTTAGATTGGGATAGAGGGGGAAGTTGCCGAAGAAGAAGGGGCTAAGGAGGAGAAGACTTACCTGCGATTGGAGCGATTGGAGCGAACGTGGAGTTTTCATCAACGGCTACAAAGAAGAGAAGAACCTCCTGCCCCACTTACCTCGATTGATTGCAAACCTGTGTGTTGTGTATCTCTTCCCCCTCCTTTCTGGTGGTCGCTGCTGCTGTCTGGACGAAACTTGTGGCCTGGTCTGATCTGACAGATAGGACTAGAGAGTTAACATCTGGTCTTCGTGTTATCCATCTGGTCTATCGATAGGTTGGGAAGGAAGGTTGAGTCAGGGAACTGTCCACTGCCATGTCAGAGTGTAAGAAGTTGAGAGAGCTAAGATAATTGTGGTAAACTGGATTTGTTTTCGAAGTAAGTTTGAGTATCACCCGACTACCTTTTCTAACGAAAGTGACCAGACAAGACCATTGAAGGCATAGACCAGCTAAGTAACTGAACAGGCAGCAAACAAAGGAAGAGGAAAAAAAAAAAAAAAGAGTTCCTACTTCGCATATTGATTAGGAAAATATTATATAAATTCTGCATTATTAAATTTCGTTATTCTGAAGCAACGACATCCAGACTTAAAAAAAAAAAGTTACAAATCCCAACTACTCAGGTAAACTAGGTTCTTGGGTAGCTAATTGGTGGTCCAGCGAAGGTCTCCCCTGTTGTTACATCTTCGATGCCACACGGGTCCTACCGGACCCGACTTAGGGCCGGAGGGACACACCAGGGCCTAAAGGCCCGACCTTGAGGGTCACAGGCCCTAAAGGCCTGATTTTGCACTCAGCCCAGTGGGTAGG